GAATATGAATTGTCGACGGCGTCGTCGTTCGTTTGGTTGTTCCTGGTGGCCGTGTTGTCTAGCTGCGATGCCGAGGAGTCGTTGCTGCTGTTGCCGCTGCTGGCCATCTTGTTAGCCTGGTGTGCGAAGTGATTCTTTTGTGTCAGAAAGTCTATGTTCCCCTTAGAAGGCGCCAAACTATGGGAGCCGGATCAGCACAGTTAAATTTGTCAAGGGTGTTTGAGGATTACAGATTTCTATATCGCGGACTCACTTAGAACAAAGACTGAGAATATGAATTATTTATTGCTGTTTCTGTTAAATTTTGATTATAAGAGAGTTTTCTCTGAGAAAAGTTCTGAACCCTTTTTTGGGTGAATAAAATGAGCTATATATAGTTTTATTAAGTAAATGGGTCAACTAATAAAATGGGCTTGGCCCATTAAGCAATACATCTAATTTAGGCCCATAACTTTTCATTAAGACCATTTTGATTATGGGTTTAATGTCATTTTGGGCCTAAATTCAGACTGGGCCTTGTAGACTTGATCCGATTTCGTTAGGACGCTGTAGAGTTGATCTTGTCGCTATATCGATCTTATTGGGGTGAAATCCGATCCCTACAGACATGTAGGCGACTCCGGTATTTGTAAAAAGTAATGCTTAGAACATGTTTTGGAAACAATAATCTTTTAAAGTACTCTAATATATATTAGTTTTTTTATTTTTATGATAAACTCGTGGGTTACTCACAACCCTAATGGGTTTATCCATTAAACTCATAACCCTAATAGGGTAACCCACCAAAACTCATTTATTTATATGGATAAAAAAATTCAATTCTTACCCGCTAAAATTATGGGCTGGTTTGGGTAATCCATGGCTATTAACCCATTTTGACACCCATAATAGTAACTATCAACTATGATACAACTCATAAACATAAATTATTATAATATTTAATTAAACTTGTAAGTATCATTTATTTGAATAATTTATCTTTAATATACTAAATTTGAAATGATAAAATATCAATACAACATTTTGTATTTTTATCTAATATTAAAGACTGATATTTAGTAAAAAAAAATTCAATGTTAAATTTAATATATTAAATTGATCAAATTTAAATAGGAACCAAAACAATATTAATATTTTTTATATATTTTGTATTTAAAATATTATTCTTTGTAAATAAAAAATTGAAAAAAAAAATTCAAAATATCATCATGGGAAAGTATTTGCATACATGTCCTAGTTAGTACATTTAACGGAAAACTAACACTATTATCTGTTTGGTATGTGTATGCCTAATTTTGGAAGTTTGGGTCGCAAAATTTGAATTTTAATGAGTTCAGTTATTTAAAATCACAGTCTCAAAGATTAGATATAAATTTTCGCACTTACCCAGAATTCGAGTACAAATAAGCCAAAAATCCCGTGTTGACACGTATGGGGTTCTTAGAGTTTCTACATGTTTTCGTTTCGGAACCGTTTCTAATCAACAA